AAACAGACTTGTGATCAACACATTCGTAAATACACAGTCAAAACCACCTGGTGAACAAAACACAAGTAAATGTGTGTCTCCTAACTCACATCTGTATTATCTCCACTGACGCCAGCAGTATATTATGGTGAAAGGTTCAGAAATGATTCCATGTAATCCTTACCCTGCAGCCCTTACTGATAAAATGTGTTTATACAGTATGTAGACTACACATTACATGTGAATTGGTCTATCAAGTCTTTATTACAGGACTAAGACAATATGCAAAGATTGGCTTATTGAAACTGAGCAAATATAGACGCTTCAAAGTTTTTGTCCCAAATTGTTAACAACAGTACATTGTGCTGTAATCCAAGCATAAAACCAGAAAGAGACTTCTGCTTAGTTGTGAACAGTCACTGTAATTGATGTCATGTCTCCACAGTGCCCTACTTTTGCTGCAGGCATAACTCTCAAATTCCAAAAATTTGCAATATCTCATGTTGATTTAATCTTATCGCTCTTCATGTGACTCCAACTCATGCTTAAACATTGGATACAGTTTTCATAGATGCTTCTCTACATTGTAGTGTGTCTACTTTTAATCAACTTATGAGAATACAAAATTATGAATTTTAATATTCACAGAATATTAATTCATAAAGCTCTCGTTTCAAGGGGCACCACCGGAGATTTAATTCACCCAGAGTCTCCGGACCTCTGGGTAGCGTTTTAATAATTATACAATTATTCACTAGTGATCAGTTAGTTAATAATCGCTCAATTATCTTAAATTATATCAGTCAGTCTCATATCGAAGAGGTAAATTCTTGTGGCAGGGACTTGGAGGTAGGCAATACACATACACAATTCCTGTGATTACAGTGAAATTTATTAACTAACTAAGGTGACGTAAATGTGGTTAAATATACATCAAAGAAATAAACAATGGCTAAACAATGAGGATGTGGAGTTCTATTGTGTGAAGAATTTGATTCACACGGCGGAAGAGAACTAATGAAAGCAGTTAGATGATACTAACTTGGTTAAATTTGTCTAGGAGTTTCAAGGATTAAATATACTGGATTAACAGACTGTTGGACATCACTGATCACAGAATGCCTTGGTTTGGTCTCATGCTGGCGCAGTTCCGTGCGTTCTCGGTTAGGACGGCTTAAAACCGTCGGCCAGTCACTTTCTCTGCCAGGGAATTGCTCCGCATCTTTTGTCGGCTTATTGAAGAAACTCGCAGTGTGGGCCTTTACAGCCCTGGCTCGGGTCAGAGGTTTGGTCATCCTTTGTTACTGCTGGCGGGCCCACGTGTATGAGTCCGGCGTTGGTGGGATCAGTGTAAGTTAGTTTGACAAATAAAGATTAAAAAGAACTTGGTCGTTCTTGAATTAAAATTGTGTAACTTAATGGTCTGATAACTTTAACAAAGAAAAACAAGAAACTTGCTGGAAATGAGGGAAAAAAGCCTTTGCTGCGCCGGGTCAAACTTCTTAGGGTGTTGCCGGCAGAGGGAGCACGCTGGGCGCGTGCCGAAGTGCAGCTGAAGAGAACAAGACAAGAGAGGGCGAAGGACAGCGTGTGTCGCTGTTTTTGTTTGTTGGTGCGTGGTTCCCAGAGGGGATTCCTTTTAACAATCTTCTGCTCAGGATCTGGGGAATTTAGTGATTTAACAATAAATTTGAGCTGTAAATTTAATCGAGTATAGCATGACATTTCTTTATCATATCCTTTCTAAAGCAAGTGTCATAAAGTGTTGGGAACAAAGCATTGGTTACAACATAAAATGAGGCAATGCCAGGTGACCTTGCTGAAAATTAAAACACTTCAAAATTAACGTATTTAGATTATTTTCAACAACAATATCAACAACAACATGGTAACATAACTACTCAAATGGAGTGGAGAGACCTAGTTAAGTAACTTAAAGATCCATCCATCCATCTTCATCCGCTTATCCGGGATCGGGTCGCGGGGTAACTTAAAGATTATTTAATTAAATAAGGTAATGCTTTGAGTTTTGAGGAGACAGAACTCTTTGTTTACACAAAGAGTTCTGGACTGTCCTCTGGTGTCCTGGAGTTTCTCACGTCTGGGCGTGAAGTGGAGAATATCCTTTGATGTGAGGTAATTAACAAAGAGGGAGGTCAGTTGCCATGGTTACGTGTGTGTGTGTGGGGGGGGGGGGGCAGTTTAGGGTTTCCTGCCCTCTTCTGATAGGCTGTTTATAATCTCTGGTTAGTGTTTCTTTGTCATTTTAACAGTCAGGCATCGAGCCTTATCTGTCTGCGGCACCAGAGGTGGTAAGTTTTATGATCTAACTGCCCAGAAACAGCACTTAGGGAAAGCAAACCTTTCACCTCCTCCTTTGGTCGCTTCAGCTGTCCGTTGAGGGTTGATATCTCAAACCCCATCCTTTTCTTTCTCAGACAGAGAGAGAAAGAATAGGAGTAGTCCAAATTTATTTGCTATAAAATGCACAAATCCACACTGTTTGTTCACAACAACATTCACAAATGACTACAAATTATGACACTGACTCTTTTAGTGCAAGCACAGTCTATGCTTTATGAATATCAGGTCTTCTACAGACTTGACTCAGTGTCTCCACTGGACACATCAGACTTTAATAACTTTTTTAGGCAACTCTAAGTACGAGAAAGTTTGAACATATCTGGCAACACGCACCAACGGCAAACTGCCACTATGCCACAGTTGCAAGAATAGCTCTGATAGCAGAGTGTCATAGCTTCACAAGCTTTTACAAATTAGATCTGACTCAGAAAGTGAATAGGATGCACAGCCTTCTAGATTTTTAACAGAAAATGTTTAGATGATTTTAATCCAGGTCTGAATCTTTGTCAAAATACACATTATGATATAAGAAAGTAAGACTGATGATAGTCATAGTCATTTAGATTTTACCACCTGTAGAAATACCTTAAAATGCCATTTATGTTTATGTCAAGTAGGCCACACCTAAAACATTGTCTCATGTGGCAAAGATTAGGTGGAATATCTTAAACCAAGGACATCTTTGCAGCTACCCTTCGCTGTTTGAATGGTGTGTGCTAAAAAGTGCTTTAAAATAATGGGCGCTGTGCATCAAAAACTAATCATTTCTTCTTTGGCATATGGCCTTGCTTTTAAATTTCATTGAAATCTGTAACTAACAGACAAAATGGAACTGGAAATTGGCAGAGGGGTCATCATTTGTTTTTGCCAAGAAGGTAAGCAGTGTCAGGTAGGTGGAGTTTCCTAGATCTGGGCTTTCTGATTTCTATTTCAGTACTTCATTACCCATGTCTAATACAACTGATGTAGTGACTCTTAAAAGGAGGATTCATGGAGGGCAGAGAATGCTGCTCTGTCATCAAGGGTCTATTAATTGTCTGCTACACATCAGCATCATCCAGCTCCCTCAGAAGAACCATAAACATTAATCATAATTTGGTGTTGGTGAGGTAAACCACAAGCCAATCAACACTTCAGCATCTCAACGCCATTTCTCCGCGAGCAAGCATGGAGCTGAAGAGCAAAAAAGTTCCCCTCCACTGAGGAGAGCAGCACAAGAGGTGTGTGATGGTGAAAAGGCAGTAAACTTTAACACGATGCAAATTACAATGAGACAGTGAGTCTGCACTATTATATAACAATTATATTTTGTTCAAAAAAGAACGGCTTTGATTCTTAGATCAACACTGCAAGCCCAATGCCCAAAATGCCCTGACTTCCTGTGACGGAAGAACTAGAAAAGCAAGGAATTTCTGACACAAGAAAATAAGAGAACGGACACAGGAAGGTGTTGGAGAAAGGTTATGACTGGGTGATCCTGGAGCTTGTCAGGCGATTCAGTCACATCAGGTCTGGTAGAGTTGTGGTTGAAAGAGGGGAAATAGCAGTGCAGTTTTGGGCCAACTGCCATTGAAGACAATGGGGGTTCTCAGAGATGGAGCTTCCTTGAATTGTGCTCAGTTTCCACATAGTGAATGAAAACACAAGCCTCTCAGAGAGATTTTTCCATCACGGCCGGCCAGCTGCAGAACTCCCATCAGAGTGATACCATAACAGCTGATACGTCAGAGAGCTCATCAGGAGCTGTTCTAATAACTACTAAAGGTAAAGCAATTTCTTGACGAGAACATACTTCGCCTACAGGATGCAACATACAAGAAGGTCTCTGCTTGATGGTTACTGTGTACAAGTAAGGGCTAAGAGTCATCAACACGTTTTAATTTGCTTAGGTGTGTGAAAACTAGTAGAAACATTTTCAGTATGCATACTAAATCCACTTAATATTTTATTTTGATGTTGACGTGCACTATGACCCCACAAAAGAAAACAGAGGAGCTGCTCACAGGTGCATAAACTTTTTAAAGTGTTGTGTAAATTGTGGATATTAAGGAACATCTTCCAATGCACACACTGATCATAGTCTGTATACAATTAGCATACGGTAAAATGTGTATATAAAATGGACTTGATGCAGCTTATTTCTCAATAAGCAAAGGCTATGTACATCCACGCAAATTTGTCATAATGATTAGATGTCTGCTCAGGTTGAAGTTATGATGGAGCCATGATTACATGAGGTCACCACAATGACTTCTTTCAGGGAAGACATGTCAGTAGGAAAAGCACAAGTGTAATTAATAACATTAACGATGGCAGCATTCAATTTAAGAGACCATGTTCCAATGTCTCGTATCTCGGCTCACTGGAACATTTCATGGAAAGGAGGCACAATTTTTTGTTATCAGTTTAACCTGTAGTTTGCTATGGCAAGTCCAAATTTCTGTTGTGAGAAATATCAATAAAAGGGCAGCCTTTTCCATTATTTTCTGCTGCCTAGATGTTGTAAGCTTGTGATCAGCCACATCACTGCTAACCTTCACTGGCTACATCAAGCCTGAGTGCCCTGCAGAAATTATTTTCTGCTGATGCAACAGGTGCAAAAAAAAAAAAAAACTTAACAGGAGAGAAAGAGATGTTGGGAAGATAATCAAGCATAAGTGAAAAGACCTCTGTAGGGGCTTTTATTAGCTGTTAAGTGAAAAACTCACATGCATTCTACATCAGGTATTACTGGAAAAAGAAAAACCTATTTAAAGTGCAGTTTATTGCATAAAAGGAAAATCATGGCACAAAAATAGTGACACAAAATAGTTTTATATGAAGCAATTTCCAGTGTTTTCCTGAATTAAAGGTGGGGTAGGCAATTTATTCAGAAGTATTTTGTTTTATTTAGCATTGTTATATTTGTTGAAACTCCCATATGCCAACAGCAATCAAATGTGCTAACAAAAAAATAAAAAATCCAGTATCTGTGGCAGATGCAGCATTGAAAAAAGCGCCGGACGAATGAAATGATTGGCTGGACTACTTGCTTATCTACCTAAATGTGTTTTAGTGAATGGCTTTGGAAGCTGAAGGGAGGGGGTGGGATTTATTTCCATTGGAGACTTTCAAAATCTAGCTGTCTAACAAAATGGAGACCGGTAATGCCGAAAAACAACCAGCTCCCAGCACAACACAGATTCCAATACAAACTCCATGTAAAGATAAAAAAAAAAAAACAAGTTTTATTTGCTGAAGCCCGACTTCCAAAATGAGAATCAGATCAACGGGCAAAAAAACGGGTCCACATTGGAAAGGCGTTTGAGTCATGGAGAGACCTCCCCTTTGTTTTCAAAACAGATTCACTGCATCATCTTTGCGCACGCCAGACGGAGGCCAGCAACAGAATGAGCTCCGCAAGTGGTGGCGGGGAAAGCTTGTGCCTTATCTTAAATCAAAAGACAGCTGCTGTGTGTGGGTTACGTAGAACAACTCTTTATGAAGTACGTTGTTCTTGAACATTCCATATTAACATACATTAAGGGGACAATGTTATAAATACTCATGTCATACACCATGTCTACATACCACAAATTAATTGCAAGGCTGTTGTTTTTATAGCATAGTTTGCAGAGGTACACCACATAAACTGGTAGCAGGTGATGTATACTGGAATTCCCCACACTGTTTTGTCCCCTAAAATACTATGAAAATGATACTATACACCTCATTTGACAATGTGTAAAAGTAGCTGCTTGTGGCCAAATGTTACCAGAGTTAGGGCAATTTACTTCCATACCTGTCACCTGAATTCAGGAAGTTGAAATTCTTAATACAAAAGAAACAAAATCCTACTGCATAATGATTTGATTAAGATTACTATTATTTGATTTCAGTTTTAACTGGAATACAGTGCAAATCAACCCCAAAAACCTGGCTAATATTGCTTGTCATATTGCTGCATATGAGAGTGAATATCAGTAGTTTTTTCTATGAAGAAAGCAGTACAAGGTGGTACATTAAATCAGCAGTGGGTTATTTGGGTCACAATAGCGCTATTACCATTAAACTGATACAGGTTTAAAATTAAACTAGATTGCCGCTTCCAACCAATACAAAATTAATCTCATCAGTAAGAAAACACAGTGCAAGAAAAGCAACAAAACATCTACTTGTTCAAAGAAGACAGCTGATTTTAAGGCAAAGGACAAACCAGAAGGTAGAAGTTTAAGTGTCTAGTTTAGACAGATTTATCAATACTGTGGTCTTCCATTGACAGAAAGAAAAGAGCACCTAAATACAAATGGACTTATTATTATAGTACATCTCTATATTAAGAATCATCAGGCACTCTACTTTTTGTTAACACAACCATAGTCCAACATATCTGCCCTATTCCAGCTGCACCTGTGTTTGTCTTCCCTGCTCTGGTTCTAGTCTAAGCTCAATCTGTCCTGGTTTCACAAGTGGTTGCGGAGAAGATGGAGGGAGGGTGTGCTGGCCCTCTAAGCCATGGTTTTCTTTTTGCACTCCGCAGAGCAGAAGAGGAAGCCCTGCACTGCCATGAAACGCTGGCCGATCAGGCACTTGGAGCATCCAGAACACTTGAAGCACTGTGGCTCGGCGTGCCAGTGGGATTCGCCGTAGGAAACCCTCTGGGCCTCGGGTTCTACCGCATTCTGGCAGGCTGAGCATTTCTGGGATGAGGGAGGATATAATGATGTCATGGCACATAGTCATTTATTTTAAGTTTTTCACCATTCATTTTCATATTGTTCAATCTTTCCATTTAGATTTTAGACATTTTGCCTTTTCCTTTGTACACATAACAGCACAGACATACACATACACCACCTACACTTTAAAAAATACCAGTGTGCTCAAAAATGTAACAAATATTGGTCAGAACTGTTCATGGTGAAAAGCATTAAGTTCTTTTGGAAGTTTTAAAGCCAATTAAGTTTTGGGACAAGGTCTAAAATCCAGAAACTTGACTGACATGTTAGGCTCTTTTTAAAATGGCGCATTAAAAAATAAATAATATTAGCTTTTTTAAAATATTTATTTGTCATTACCAATGGCTTTGTAACCATGTGGTGTGTCTACCTTAAAATACTTAAAGTAAGTACAGTTCTCAACATTATATATATATATATAACTATAATGACACAGTCAGAAGTGAAGGCAAGTATGAAGTTACAGAACAGTGGCGTTGCAGGGGATTATGTTGGATAAATCATGTAAACACATGCTGAGTGCTTCACATTCTTGGCTTAGGGTGGCCAGCTTTCATTTACAATCATTCTTTTATATCAGTTTTATCCTGAGGCCTGTTGTTCAACCTGCATGAGACCCTTTAACACAAACCCTAATGACCTGCGATACCCCGTGTCAAACTACTCAATCACAATGCAGGCACATGAGGATTTTACTGTTTTGTAACTAGATGGGATCAGATCTGCAAATACGAACATTTCTCTAATCTATTTCCCACAGACCCTGAAAACTGCAGTTATTAAGCCACTCTTAAAAAAAAAAGAAGAACAATCTAGACACATTACTATTGAACAACTTTGTATAGGCTGATATCAAATCTCCCCTTCTCAAGTAAAATCATTGAAAAGCTTCCTGGCCCTAAACACAATTTTACAGTTTTAACGTTTTGTAGTCAGGATTTGAACCGCACCACAGCAGCAATGACATGAGTTCCCCAAAGCTTCATACCCGGGCTTCTTCTGTTAAACATCTACATGCTCCCGCTGAATCAGATTATGGAAAACAACATAAAATCTTATATAAAAGTGTGTGTCGTCTGCATAATTATGATAACTATGTCACCAGTTGACTCTGGTCCCATACAAGCAGGCGCATTGAACAAATAATTGGATGTGCCAACATTTCCTTTAATCAAACAAAGATAAAACTGAAGTATCTGCTTTTGGAGCCAAGGAAGAATTATTAAAAGTCAGTGCTCAGCTTTAGGCACTAACTAAACTGAACTAAACCACAAACCAGGAAAGAAGTCTAGAAGTCATAGACTCAAGACCTATATTTTAACATCCACATTAAGATAATTACAACATCAGCCTACAGTCACTTTATGAATATATCAAGAATTAGAGGTATTATGTCTCAACAGGATCTAGAAAAGCATGTCCATGCATTTATCAGACAGCTGCAGCTGAACACTAAGACCAGGAAAGTAGATCACATCACTTCTGTTCTCAGAACTTTATCACTGTTTGTGATAAAAAATTACTTTAAAATCCTACGGTTGCAGACAAACTCCCAGAACCCTCAGTTCTTTTAAATCAGGGCATAAGACTGCTTTTCTTTACATTAAATTAGAGACTACTTATTCATATATTGCTGTGCACTGTAATTAAATGTTTCCCTATTTAAGTGTGTCTTTTATATTGCCTTTTGTTTCACTTATGTCTTATGTGAAGCACTCTGAATTGCCATTTTGTTAAAAAGAGTAGAGAAATTAACTTGCCCCATCATGGTTTGCCTAGCTGGCCACAACAGGACTTTTTCCTAGGGTTGGGGGTGTCACCTGAGTTAGGGCAACTCAAGTTAAAAATCTATGCAATTGGGGATCTGAATGTAGTTTGGAAAACAGCTTCCAACAAACAAATACTAATTTTTCATTCTGTTAAAAAAGAAACCCAGAGAAAGCAAGTCTGTCTTACCACAGCGTAGTTCTTCATGTAGCAGGGCTTGCAGACAGGCTTGTCTTTCTCCATCACATATGTCTCTCCGGCGAGAATGCAGTCACAGTCAAAACAGCAGAAGTGCTTCAGATGCCAATTCTGGCCCTCAGCCTGAGTGTACTCGTTACTGAAGATCAGCTGTGGACAGACAAGCATCAAAACGTAGATAGAATAGTGCTACCAAAATCAAAACTACAGAGAAACTGATGCATGCACAATTTAAATTTTGCCTCCAATACCACACAATAATAGTGTTGCAATGAAACGTAAACAAAACTACTAATAACTTCCAAAATACTTGAAATGGTAATATCCTCTCACCTCATCACAGCCTCCACAGCGTGGCTTCTCGCTGTCTCCATAGTGGCGTCCACAGTACAGCTTGCCTTTCTTCCAGAAGTAGATCATGTCCACCAGTAGTTCGTTGCAAGTACAACACACGAAGCATGCTGGGTGCCACATCTTGTCATAGCCGGCCCGCTCAGCATAGACAGCTGGCTCGCCCAGACGCATGGGCTGCTGGCAATGATTACATGACTTGAAGGGAAAGAAGAGAGAAGAGAGAGAGAGATGGTTGGATTTGGATTTAACATTAACAGGTGATGTAAAACTCAATTGTCCAATTCAGTTTTCTTCTTTGTTGGTTTATAATTGGTCTGCAACTGATGATAATCTTCATTTTCCAATAACCTAAGGATTATATTTCAATCAGTCATTAAGACTATAAAATGTCAAAATCAAGTGAAAAATTCCCATCATAAGTTCCCAGAACTCGAAGTGACGAAGTATACTATCATATAGATATGGTATGTGTAAGACAAAACCGTGTCAGACCAGTCAATTACATCCTGCCATGAAAAGATTTCTTACAGTCCCTTTGATTCTAACAAACACTTATTATGTATTCCCAGCACTTATCAGTAGGTTTACACAAAGGGTAACAGCCTTCTCTTTGAGCCAATTCAAGACAAACTCATTTGATCTGACAAAGTAAAGTAAAGATTTGAACTCTTTGCCTCCAATCACAGTACTCCCTGAACGACACATTTTCCTGCAGAAAATTCCTCTTTACAACACATGGGCCTAGCCAATGTGACCTGGCCTGGATGTTGGCAATTAAGTTGAGATGACGGTGGAGTTAAGGTGAAGGTAGAGATATGTAAAGTCATTATGACACTCCCTGACAGGAGAGAAGAGCGCAGCCATGGAAATTAGGAATTACAATGGAGGATAAACCTAAGAGAGTGGGAGAATATAAGAACATGGGCTCATGAAAAAGACAATGAGCTTGTAACAGAAGAGAAAGAAGACAGCAACATGGAGAAGAATACAGGAAAAAAAATGAAAAGAATGAGAAGTTGGTGCTTACTTATGCACTCACTGTTGCTCTTCCATAACCACTGCTGCTTCTTGTTTCAATATCAGACCCCTTTGTTTATTCATGAGTCACAGCAGAACTAAAGGGAGGTATACATCATAAGACTCCACAGAGCACGGATTATATGACTGCACATGGTGATGATGAGATCCAACAAAACAACTCCTGTTTTGACTCAAGACCCACTGTGAATTATAATTAAATCACTCTCCATCATCCTGAATGGGGACGGCTACGTCAGAGTTGGTCTTATGGGTCCACCTAGTGTCCTGTCTAGGAGTTACACAGTGCTTCTTGTAATTATTACTGACTGTAATGCACTGGTACAAAAACAAGGTAAAACAGTCATTACCTAAGTAACCAAGTCATCAGGTTGTACATACATATGACCTAAACTATGGACTAGTGCTCACATAATTAACTAGAGTAATAACAGGAGTTAATCACACCTTCAAGACACTCTTTATAACCATGGTTCCCAGCTTGGAGGCACGGACTGACCTCCCCATGGGATCATCAGATAAATCTGAGGGGTCGTCAGATGATTCGTGGTACAAGGAAGCATAAAGATATTGTTCTGCTACATATATTTACTGTCCTTTTTTTATGAGTTTTAAAGTCATAAACTTTTAAAGTCACGAAACAATCCAGGGGAAATCCCTCTATGGCAGATATACACAATCTGTCATAAGGGATCACAAGTAGACACTGCTTAATTTTAAGGGCTCACAAGCCAAAATGGTTGAGAGCCAGTAGCATTATCCTGTTGCATCACATTAAAGCAATATCCTCTATAATAATTCCCGTTCTTGATGTAAGAAGATCAACAGTCAGGTCTCAGAAACTGGTGAAGAATGTTGCCAAAGCCGAGTAGTAACAATAAAGTATTGTTCGTACCCAGTTAGTGCAAAAAGTTGCCTACACCTTATGATGTTAAGCACTACTGCATTGATTTATTATAATTTATTTTACAGTACAGAGCTCCTGGAAGTAGGAGATAAGATGCCTGTTGTTAATTGTTAAAAATGAATAATTTCAACCAGTTGATCTGACCTTAATGCCAATAGTGTAGATGTCCAGGAAAGTGACAGACTGATGAACAGGCAACTTACAAAGGCCTTTTGTGGTAGTCCAGGTTGCTGAGCTCCAGGGACGCCAATGGCTCCAGCAGTGGCAGTAGTACCCATGGCTCCTCCAGCGGGCCCAAAGCCAGAAGACAGTCCACCCCCAGGACTTGAAACTGGCCCAGCACCACCAGTTCCTCTACCCCCTGCTCCAGGTCCAAAGCCAGGACCTCCAGCCCCTGCTCCAGGTCCTGCAGCCCCTGGCCCAGAACCAGCTCTAGCACCACTAACTCCTGGTCTAAATCCAGCTCCTCCAGCTCCACCACCGGCCCCAGGGCCAGCATCAGCTCCAGGTGTACCAACCCCAGGTCCAAACCCTGCTCCACCAGCACCAGGTGCGCTTCCAGCCCCAGCTCCACCCTGCCCTCCTGCCTGAACCAGAGCCATCTCTTCAGGCAGTATAACATCTCCGACCCCCAGGGCCTCATCCTTGTACTTGCGGACATACTGCTGCATTTGCTTGACCTCGGCTGGGCTCAGCTCATGGCACATGGACGGGTCCTGGTCATGCTCGGGCAGCTGGCATGCCATCTGCTGCCGGCGGTAAGCAGCTCCCTCTGTACCGGTCACCGGACGTTTCTCTGGTGGGAGCAGCTCAATGTAACGCACCGCCTGGAAGTCAGGGGAAATTTTGAAGATACAGTTTAGCTCAGATGGGATAAACAAAGATTGTGTGAAGGACAGAGATGAGATGACGGCACAAAAAGAAGTATTGGACCAATCAGAAAGAGAGTAAGGGTTATTTCTTTTAAAAAAAACTTTTGAAACAGAGGCTTGTGGTGAGAAAGACATGCCCAAAACAAGGGTCCTTAAGATACAGTACTAGACTAAACTAACTTGTTCCAAAGAGTGTTCCAAAACTTTATCCTGGTTCTGCTCAGGGGAAACAGACCTTGTAAACTTCAGATAAGACAAAGCAGTTGAGCAATTAATGTATCTATGGCATATTCATACTAAACAAGAAACCATCAAACAGTCTTAGTCTTTACTTATGAACAGCTGAGTTAAGTTTAAATCAACTGTGAGTTAACATTGATGTTTTTCAAGGTTATTTTGGTTAGTTCTCGTTTCCAAGATATCAATATAATGTGATGTCCCTGTTTAACAACTGAGCAGCTAAGATTCAGTTGGTAGTTGCTATCATTCTTGTAAACATTTTATAAAAGCAATAGGACAATCGACACTTTGTTTCCTAACTACTAATGGCACAGGCTGATTACAGTTAGACAATGCCAAAGCTTTCCACAGCTTGAACCACTGTATGTCACATCTACAAAACTAAACAAACGGCAATGAATAATTGATTACAAAGCCTTTAAATGGAGCACACACCCACATGATACCACTTGAGTCACAGCACAGAGCGATCTTATGCTGTTTAGGACAAAGTGCAGGCACAGGCCAACAATGAATAAAGGCAAAGCTACTTTTTGGGTGATTAAAACTACACCCCCCCAAGAAAGTCTTGGCTGTAGATTCATCCTATAGCTGATGCATTTGTTGTATCACCAAATTCTATTTGTCACTTAATGTATAATAAATATTGCAATCCCTATTAATCCTAGTAATGTTTGAACTAGGCAGTTCATGCTTTTATTATCAATTTTGTTTTGTCAATTAATCAGAGCCTTATGTAACGTCTTCAAATTGCTTGTTTTGTACGACCAACAGTCTACAACCCAAAGACATTTAATGTTCAGTGATATAAAAACAGACGAAAGCAGCATCTTTTCTCATTTGAGAAGCTTGAACCAGAGAATGGCATTTGCTCTTGAAAACTGACTTAAATAATAATTAATCTAATTAATTTAGCACTAGTTTTAACTCTTACCAGATACTTATTGGCTACTGGTGGTGCCCAGTCATAGGTGATAGGCTTCATTGGCACATCTTTGGGGACTGGTACCACACTGGCTGATGTGGCACTGACAGCAACAGGCACTTTGTTAGCCTTGATAGGAGTGACACTGGCAGGTATAGGCTGAGGCTGAGCCTGATGTGGAGCCTGATGCGGAGCCTGATGCGGAGCTTGATGCGGAGCCTGATGCGGAGCTTGATGCGGAGCTTGATGCGGAGCTTGATGCGGAGCCTGATGCGGAGCCTGATGCGGAGCTTGATGCGGAGCCTGATGCGGAGCCTGAGGCCTGCCGGGTGCTGTACCTGCAGCAGCTCCAGCAGGCTGTACAGAACCAGCTATGGCAGAGGGGGGCACCACAGTGGAAGAAGCACTCGGCGGTACAACGTAAGCAGTGGCAGGGCTGGGCAGAGTAATGGTCATCATACTGCCATCGTAGCTGGGGATGCCATCCGTCTTCAGCTTGGCGATGAGGCCGGTGTACTTGGTGTCCTCGAACAGCTTGCCTACCTTCTTGTTCTCCTCCGATTCCATCTGCACGTTGTGCTCTGTGAGGCCACATTTACAGTTTCGGCAGATTTTTCTGCAGAGGAGGAGAGGAAAACACTTACAACTTGGATTTTTCAAGATTTACGAATATTTTTTTAAAGTTGTCTCATGCTTCTATGCGTGAATTCCTACAATTTTATTGATGCTTGATTTAGTGTGGAACCATGTCTTTAGTTTTTCCAATTGCCTTTTCTACAGGTTACATTATTATGTTGCTTTGGAAATATCTTGAATTAGCCTCTTTTAACTGTATTATTTTTTAAACAAACATGCTGTTCTTTTGTAATTTTTCTTACCACAACAATTAGAATCTGGTACAACTTTACTACAATATTATACCAATGCAAACAGCTCAGTGTTAAATTCAAATATCTGCACTTTTCACATGCCTCAACACAACTTGCTTCATATTTGTAGAGCAACAGACATAATTTATGACTGCTAGGCATGCTTCAGCATGAGCAGGCCCACATATTTCTCTCAGCAGTGTCAACCTGTTTAAACCTTATTGGATGTAGGTTTACATAGATATAGTAAAAAATATATATAAATAAATAAAATCACATATTACTTTTTGACAATATTTGACAGATATTATGATTTGTGATATGATTCACAATTAGTGGGATTCTGAAGAGCTGTAGTGAAGCTCAATGTGGGTGGCTCCCAGTGGCTCCAACCGTCGCCATCTTTGCCGATTCTGGCTAATCCAAAAATGGGCAAAGAGGTAGAGCTGAGGCGGACCGATTGAAAAGTATTGTAAATGAACATTATGAATATGCAGCATAGTTTTGGAGTTGAGGAAAGCCTTAAACTAGGTATGCAAAAAAGCTAGGAATGTAAAAGCATTTAGTGCATACAGCATTCTAACAAAGCCTTTATATGCATATACACTACAGTGTATAGTAGATAGTAAAATACTCTAGATCAGCGATTCCCAAAGTGTGGTGTGCGCACGCCTTGGTGTGTGCGAGCTACCTCTACAGGGTGTGGACAGGAAAAATGTAATGGTGGTGTAGTAGTGTAATAACTACAACAATTTTGTGGAATTTGTCATGAAATAATAACCTGAATTGAAAACTCTTCCTTTGTAAATTTTATTTTAAAACTTAAAACTCACAGAAAATGGCTACTCACACACATCTTTCCCTCTCTCCTCCTCCATGTTATCTGTTTCTGAGGCTATAACAGCGGAGGGATGTTTTGAAACTTTTTTTTTTGTCCCTCTGCACGGTTCGGCACACAGGTGAACTGTGGATCGATTGCAAAGTTTAATCATCACAGTATGAGAAAACGTTCCACTGACACTGTTACTTTTTAAAGTAATAAATACCTTACGTTACATCGCGAAGCAGGGTTGCAGTGAAAAGACAGATGCATGCTGTGTTTAAGCACAGTGGGGAGAGCGACTGGCAACAACAAAAACAAATATGGTATTCACATCTAGATGTGTTAAACAACTCAGGACATACCACCCTTTGTTTGAACCCATTTTTCAAGTGAGCAAAACTATTGGAACATGTGACTGACAGATGGTTCTTGTTGCCCAGGTGTTGCCTTTTAGGTCGATTGTCCAAACATTAAATAGCTCTGCGTGACTAGTCCAAGTTTTCATCCTTGGTTCAAACCTATAAAGAGTGCATTTCCTGTTAAAGAGGAGAAACCAACATGAAGACCAGAGAGCTGTCTAGGGGAGAAAAGCAAGCCACTGTCAAGCTGAGAAAAGAAGGAAAATCGACCAGAGCCATTGGACAAACATTGGGCATAGCAAGCACAACAATTTGGAATGGTCTGAAAAAGAAAGAAACTACTGGTGTACTGAGCAACAGACGTCCAACAGGTCGGCTCATGTCCTGACAGAAATATTGTGAAAGAAAATGCCCAAAACATCAGTAAGTGACATCACCAGCAACCTCCACAGTGCAGGGTGAAGGTATCACAATCAACTGTTGGAAGAAGACTCAGAGAGCAGAAATATAGAGGCCGCACCACAAGATGCAAACCACTCATCAGCAGGAAGAATCGGAAGTACAGAGCCGCAAAAGTTCTGTAACACAATCTGATGGACTGATGAGACCAAGATTAATCTACCAAAGTGATGGAAAGGCCAAAGTGTGGAGAAAGAAAGGAAGTGCTTATGATCCGAAGCATACGAGCTCATCTGTGAAGCATGCTGGAGGTGATGTCATGGCTCGGGCGTGCATGGCTGCTTCTGGAACAGGCTCATTAATATTTATTGATGATGTAACTGATGATGGTCGCAGCAGAATGAATTCAGAAGTGGACAGAAACATTTTGTCTGCCAATTTACGGAGAAATGCATTGAAACTAATGTGGAGGAAGTTTATCATGCAGCAGGACAATGAGCCAAAGCACACTGCCAACAAAACAAAGGACTTCATCAGGAGAAAGAAGTAGAAGGTTTCAGACTGGCCAAGTCAGCCACCTGGCCTCAACCCAGTAGAGCTGCATTTCACCTCCTTAAGAGGAGACTGAAGGGAGAAACACCCCGAAACAAGCTGCGGTAAAAGCCTGGAATAGTATCACAAATGAAGAATTCAACAGTTTGGTGATGTCGATGGGTCGCAGGCTTGAGACAGTTATTACAAGCAAGGGTTATACCACCAAATATTAAATGTTATTTACTTTTATTATTTGTTCCTCTACATTTGCTCACCAATGAATGCTGTGGTCTGATACAAACGGTGATATTTCCTAAGTTGTTTAACACATCTAGATGTGAATACCAGGAAAAGAAAGCTGAAAATCTGAACTCTTGTCTCATACTCATCTTTTGATCTTAAACCCAAATGTCTTCAGTCAACAACAAAAACAAAGGAATTTGCCTGCTCTAGATCCCTAGAGATCCAACTTGGCATGATAAGTAAGCCCCCTGTCTGACTGTAACAGTACAGCATTCCAGGCTGAATGTCAGACACATTAAAACCACCACAGACCCGTGGTGGGCCTTTGTGCTGATGCTGTGATGGCCATCGGGGGACCTGGTGTTGTCTTCAGGAAAACTAGCCAAGTGTGGATGATTGTCCAGACAGAGCAGTATTTCATGAGTCACTGGTTCAAATAAATCCGTATATTGTGACAGACAGAGGGAGCAAGGCAGAGAACCCTGGGTAGAGACTACCCGTACACGGTCCGACATTTTTAAAATTATTTTAAATGACACCAGTGCCAGGGCAGGAGTTTCACAGCCCCTCTGTCTGGCCTTGATGAAAATATTATGCCCACCCTGCCTCTTTGTCTTCTCCTGTCACGTCTGCCCAGCAGTGTAATGTTAGTACATGGGTAGGTAGGTAGATTTATTTTGTCACGATACAACAGGTTATAGAATGAAATTGAGTTTGTAACTTCCTTCTGCTACGTAGCAGACAATTTACATTAATATAGAGGCAATTAAAAAATTAGAATAGTAAATAGTAAATAGAAATAAACTATAGTCAATGGAGAAGTGCTTAGGATGAATTTGAGTTTGAAAGTCTGATCGCTTGGGGGGAAAAGCTGCTCTGCAGTCTGGTGGTGCAGCAGCAGAAACTTGAACTTAATTGTAACGGTAACACAATCATGTGGTGTGAGTAATACAAATGCAGCTCGTTTATCCTGCCTAAGCCAAAAATGTTATCACGATAAAAACATTTCATATCGATATTCGATAATTATCACAATAAATGTCGAATCGTTATTTCTTTCAAGTTTAAAGGCAGATTTTTGCTCATGAATGGAAACTGAAGAAACCAGATGGTTAATTATGTGGTTAAACATTTCTTTATGGTCAGAATGTGACACTTTCAGAACTATTATAGTAAAAAACTATTTACAAATATGATTAGTAAAATTTTTTTCAGTCCCTTTTCCTCAACAAAATAAATATTTTAATAGAAAAATTAAGTGCTAATTTGTCTGTGATTCCAATGAATTAAACCATTTTATTGACGATATATTGAACATTTATTTTATTGATAGACAAAAATTATATTGCGATAATTATCATTATTGTTTTATTGCCCAGCCCTACTCCTGCCTGATCAATACTGTGCAGCCATAGACTGTATAAAACAGATGAGAAGGAAGCGGGAAGGCTCCCTCATTACTTCCATCATCAGCAATTCAGAATGTTATTGATTAAATGGTTTTAATGTTATTAATTAATGTTGTGGGCTGGAGCGGTGGTGCAGTGATTAGCACAGTCGCCTCGCAGCAAGAAGGTTGTGGGTTCAAACCCCGGTTGCCCCGGCCTTTCTGTGTGGAGTTTGCATGTTCTCTCCGGGTAAATAAAGTATTATTTTGATAGAAATGTTTACTAAAAAGGCATTAATGCTTTTCCAAATGGATTCGTCTATTTAAGTGAATCAAAATCATATTTTTTAAACTTATGGCCTTTGTGCCCTCAGAAAATTGCCCCTAAAACTATGAAATTTCTGGCCTGGTGTCTACACTATAACTTATGTGAGCATCTTATCCAATTAGTTATTTTGTTGAATCAGAACCAGAAGCACCCATGAATGCTTCACCACCCCAATCTCAGCACTAATTAGACCTAGAGTCATCAACAGTAAATTAACATTGCCCTGATATTTCCACTGTTCTTATAACAATAAACTGATCAGACGTGGGACTCAAAGACATAGGGAGCGGCTGTACTCAGGATCAGCATGTTGCTCTCAGACCACGACTCCTGCTGCTATCAGAGTATTTTTAATTAAGCAAAGAGGAAAGTATTATTGACCAGTCTGGCCCATGAATTGAAGTTTTATTTGCTCTTCTTGTATTATTTCGGAAATAATGTGCTGAATAATATGATGAATAATTATGTCTTGCTTCATAATTATATACTAACATACCTGACAGCTGCCCAAGAAAACCAGTTTTCTACTGTAGGCCACCTTTAGTTTCAGCTGATTCACTTAAATAACTTTAATATTTCTAGTCTAAACACAGGAAACCTGGGGATTAAGACTGACTTGCCACTGTCAAGATTGTTTCTGTGACATTTCTATGCTGCTTGACAGAAGCTGTACAAACCTCCAGAAATGCAGCTCGAAGCCTTCACACTTGTCCTTGCATTTCAAACAGGCCGCTCCAGCACCAAACTCGTGTCCGAGGGTCATCTGTAAACAGAGCACATGAGGAATATTACAAGTGCACAGTTTTGTTTTGGCTGCTCAGCCACTGAAAGGAAATGCTGAGCTTCCTTAGGGCAGGGACATAACAACAGAGGCTGTTATTTGTGTCAACGTTAAGCTGGGAATTCTCATTGACCCAGACTCATTGAGAAGAACACATTTTTGATGCTCAACATGTGAAATAATTACTCTGTACTGAAAATAGTTTGAGGTAAAATAAAATCTGGATATACTATTCTGGTTATTTGTAATCCAGGCAAAATTGTTTGTCTTTAGAAATATTTCAGCAACATTTCTCTTAAATTTCCTTAACTGCAATCAGGAATTTTATCCTTCCCAGTTTTCCAGCTGGTGACTCTATGCTGCACCTCTTTCCTTAGCATCTGAATCTTCTTCCTTGGCTTCAGAGTCAAACAATGTCCACCTTAAGCCATTGCTGCTGTTTATGACCATATATGGTCAACTATTCAATGCTGTTGAATGCCTTGTGGGATCCCAGCAGGCACCCCTTTTGTCGGAGAGATGTTTTTGAATCAAAAGACGCTCGCTACTGAGGAATGCAGACAGTGACTGTTTGTAACGGCAAAGCTGTGATGTCAATATTTTGACTTCCATTACACCCTCCAGAGTAGCGAGACTTTCCTCTCCTGGGAGCTGTTGAAGAGCAGGAGTTTAGCTGAGTAGTTTGTTATGATCATTACACTGGCAAACACATCAGTGGATCTCAGTGAGGTTTGAACTTAAGATTCTTTTACTTTCATTTTTGTAGGCGGCATAAATAGAATTTCAGGGGTTGTTTAGCACAGTTCATTCTAGTAATATAGTGAAAGACTGTCAAATAAAAACTAATTAAAAACATACTTTAAGTAAATCCAGTTAAAAAACTTGTTGTTCTCTTACTTTGATTATCCACTTTCATCCTGACCAATCTCTCAGGTAGTTTATGCCTTCCTAATTTAAAATGGATTATCTCTCTTAAATATATGTTTTAACCTCTTATGCTGTATTTTGCATATGTTTGTTAAAGCACTAATTTGAACATGTACTATATAAATTAAATTACTTGCTTTACAGTATGCTGATAAAAGTAGAAGCACATTGTTACCCTAACACCACGTGAACAAGGAATACATTTTAAAAAAAGGATTACAAATCTGTCCCCAACTTTGAGTACCAGACAGTTTTTCATTCTGTGCAACAAACCCATAACAATCAGTACTAAAAGTTTTTAACCCTGATAGACTCTTTTCAGAGGGCACTGAACTACATATTTGCAATCCGTCTCGCTCACAAGGTTTGTGATCTGTCAATTTCAAATAATCTACCGTGTTCATTTAAGGCACTCTGAGAGCATCAGCTGAGTATCTCAAATGCAAAAGTAAGTGCAGAGATTTAAAGCAAACCAAGCTAAGTATTCACTACTTTTGTAAGTTTAAATATGTCTCGGGCATAGTGAGGATGATTGGTAACTCAGTGTGGGTGACTTTCCTTGGAACACAGTTTCACAAACTGCATTAGCAGTTGATGTTGATCAGTGACTCTGTATTATGACTAAGCTTGCAGGGTAATTTATTCCAGTGACAACCCTCTACAAGGAGTTTGCTGAAACACAAAGTATACAGTTCAGATCCGATGAGTCATATTCATGAGTAATTTTGTTGCAGCAGGCCTGAACTGCAGACCAGAGGCAGCTGTAATGACACTAGTCACTGGCTATGGAGACATTTTAATTTCAGAGGGCCACCTCCTTTCAGACCAAGACATCTTGTGTCTGCAACATCCGTAAGAAGCTAAAACACACTAACTATTAAATTTGAATTTAATTGTTATTTAACGTTTGTCCGCAGTATTTTACTCATAGTGTGTGCAGCAAAATGCCTGCAGTTGATAGCAGAACAAAACTGGTGCCTATATTAGACAGATTGAAGAAAGCAGGGTTTAATTCAATTAGGTTGGTCTCACAGTTCAGAAACAGATTTTTCTATATTTATATAGCAATTCCTACTTCACACTGTAGCAGTTGTTTTTGGTTTAATTTCACAGTAACATATAAGAAGTAATATAACAACTCAGACTCATCTGACCAACTTCTTCTTTTTAGTATCTGGGTGGGATAAAGATTATGAATACATGCAACTATCTAATGTCATCATAATTATAGATCAGCCTTCTTGCTGTGGTTTTAGAGGCAATTTTCTTGCCAGTCCATAACAGAATTCTTAAATGTATTTGAGCAAAGAGAGGATTATGTCTCTTAAGTTGGAAATGTTTTCTAAAGATTCTTGACCACTGCAACTTTAATAACCATTTAGGTGTTTTGAGAAGAATGTGAGAAAGACCACCAGAAACAACTTAAAATTTAACAGAATTGCAGTGATGGTGATTTCGCAGGCTGTAAACCTATTATCTCAGCTGTCTTTTTGGAAGACTGCATGAGCTTAATTGGGCATAATATTACTGTATAACACAAAGGTTAATTTTCTTGAAAAGGGCAGTTACAGTTTCACAGTAATTACAGCAGTCTCTTTCTGACTGAGGCCCCCCAGTGACCTGCAGCCACTGCAGACTTATTTATCTCCTCCAGGGATTAAAAGCAGATGTCAGTCTGGGCCTGTCTGGGTCATCCAGCTGCTCAGATCCACTTTCCAGCAGCAGTTTACTGTATACACTGTATAATTGAGTTTGCTGCAGATCAATGGAGTTGACTCAGTCAAGTCTCACTGACTAGCAAACAAATAAGACCTTGTAGAAAGACACTGGCTGTTGAATCCTGGATTATGTGCTTCAATTAATTTTGAATGACAGTTTGTCTCTGCATGTAAAGCAAGAACCACTGTTTAACATTAAGTACGCTGGAAACAAACCAGTGTTTGGTACAGACTGCCAATACAGACACAAGTTTAACCGCATTTTAAAATTACTTGTACAATTGACTGAAGCCAAAATGATGGTAAATTAAAGTTGCATCTTATTGGGTGACTGATGCTGCATCTTCACACTAACCACTTCTTACCCCTGCAGCTCTGCCCTGCCTTTACACTGCTTCCAGCTACCTGCAGGTCTATGCAAGGATCCCATGGCTCAAGCAAACAGAGATGACATTGATCAAGTGCGGGAAACTGACCCCAGTTTTATAAACACTACTGGGATTGTATCTAGAATCGCCAGCTGTATAATTATTTGGTAAATTAACTTTTGCAACTACCATTTGTAGCAATACGTGCTGATACTAAAACATTAATGCAATTAAACTAGGACAATTTCATGCACAATACCCATGCCTATCTTTCCAGTGACTAACGTCGTTTTGCTAAATAATCGCTATGTATACAGCGTTTAAGTTTTTGACGATGTGGATGACACGATGTCAAACTTTCAAAGGAAGTTCAAATGGGCATATATTCTCAAAAGGAAGTAACCGTGCTAAGAAAGAAGGCTACAACTACAAGTGCTGTAATAATGTCTATCAACCACCTACTGCTGTTTAGTTGGCATGTAATAGTTATAGAATTTAATTCCCAGAAATGTAAACGCAAAAACATGACTTTGAAAACAGAAATGAAAGCAGAAGATCAAACATGACCGTCTTGATTGGGATACTGTAACTTCACTCGCCACCTGTCCAGTGTTCCGAACACCTTTTCAGGGCGTTACCCCGTCAGTCTGAGATACCGAGTACACTTTGGGGGCAATCTTACCTTTTTTACTTCCTTCTCTATCTCCATTTTTGAGTCTGTAAGCGCGGCGTTTAGTCGGTCCAGACGAGGCGAACAGAGGAGCCGCTACTAAAACAGCTGTCAAACCCCAAAACGGATAGAAAACGGACCAGAGAAATAGTAGCCTACAACAACCGGGTTCACGCTCCGTTTTCTCTTCGGAGGTCCTGCTCTGCACAGGTGTCAAGTTTACAGAATTAAGAAAGCTGTTTCCGATCAGGATTTTCAAGATAAAAGGTTGCAAGCTCTACTTAACACTAATAAACAAACAAACAAACATACATACAATGATGAATAACAAACACCGTATGAACTTTTCGACTATTGCATTGTATGTGAGACAAATGTCAAATGAATAAGAAACAGGACGGTCAAGAAATGCATTTATATGCCTAAAAAATAAATAAGGTAAATACATTTTGAAGTGAGTGGGCTAAATGGCAAGATATTAAATAAATATACATAAATATGCTTTTTTTTTTATAAGAAAGGGGAGCACTTATGTAAATTAACAACATGTTGTCCCATGAAAAGTGCAAACTTTGCTCGTATTCATAGTAAATGGTAAACTGCTCAAAAATACCTAATGTAGGCTTACATAAAATACCTGCACAAAAACATTTATTCCAGCATTCTTTGCACTCTGCTCCAGTGCACTATTGTCTTGCTGTACAAATGTTTTTATTTTATTTTATTCTTAGTGTCTATGTGTGTATCTGTGTGTGGTAGTTTGTGTCTGTTTTGAGTTGAGCTCGATGTCCTTTTGGCTTATGTTTGTTCTGTGTACATTGACAGCAATGTAAGACCTGTATGTGTACACATACCTTTGCCAATAGAAGTAATTTTGGTTCTGAAATGATTTGTACACGATAGACAGTAGAAACGGTTGTGTTTTGCAGTTATTCTTTCCTTTTACTTTGAAGAGAAAGGGTCCTTACTTCCGGTAGAATATTCACGTTCCCTCTTCAACTTGACGCGGCTTTCACTCTGGAGGTCTCGTTCACTTTTCATTGATTTTCAAGGCGGCACTTCCGCTATGATAGATAGCCATATTGACCAATGGGAATAGAGAAAGTGGACAAGCGCGCAGGACGACCAATCAGGGAACAGCAGGGGCGTCTTCTTGTTGTAACAAAGGATTTGATAAGAATTTTTCAGATTCAAACTTCTGTTTTGAGTCTAAATTTGCAAGTTTTTCTTCCAGAGAGTTTACTTTTTATTTTGCTTGTCATGATGTTTGAAGTTTTTTTAAAGGCGTGTTGTAAAAAAAATTAAAAAAGTCCATAAATGTGGTAAAATGTGTCTTTGCTTTAGAAATGGGCCTACACATTTTTGAATGCAGTAGTAGGCACGCGCATTGGAGTAAGCCACACGTTGAACCAAACCACACCACAGCTTTTTGTTTTGTGATCTGATGTTTGGTGCTTCTACTGAGAAGCCTGTCAAACAGCTGTGTTGCCTCACAGCCAGGAAACATGTGGTTAGCAACTTCCTCTGTGAACTGCTGCTGGCCTTTTTAAAGGAAACAACATTGTCACACCCTGAAGGTCAGATGGTGTTATCTGTCAAGGAATGGGCTTTGATGAGTGTGGATGCTGTTTTTCAGCACCGCTCTGCTTCACTGGGATGTCTGATCTATGCTGTCTGGTATGAACATCTGTAACACAAAATGTTCTTTAGCATCTATAAACTCTCAGGCAGCTGTTTTCTCCCATTACCAGAGATGTCGTCACTTGTTCTGCAGTATCCAAAACTTAACACAACCTCATGATGTGTTACAAACTTGTACAAGGCTATTTAGAAAGCAGACAGATTATTTAAAAGGCATTTTAAAGTTAGACTTAACAGCAATGATATGATGCCTCAAAATAAACCCACCATATCAGCTTGAACCACAAAGTGTGGCTTCAACAGTTTGAGTGTACCGACAGCTGTGAATTTCCTTCATTTGACCTTCAGTTTGTGCAGTCAGGAAGTCTTTTCCACAAATTTAAAATATAAAGGTAAAATCTGTACTCTAAAAACAATAACACTGTATTGGTTGGTAAATCAAGTTCCATTTTCTCACACCTGTCACTTGAGTGCTCACACTGTAGGTGGCAGTGTTGGCCAGATCAGAAAATTCACCTGCCTGAGTGTACAGAGCATCAGCGATGGGGGTTCACCTCATCTCCTACCTTCCATCATGTTTCCTTTAACCATGACCACAATATTTTCCTACTTCTGCCTTAACTGCCTTCTCCTTGATGGAGCATCAGATCAACAAAACAGTAACACCTCTGGGTCATTTTAGAGTGCACTGACTATCTATTACTATGAAGCACAGGACTTGTTTAATCACTCACAGTGAACATTTGAAACATTGCAATGACACTAAAGGCATATTGACAACATGTGACTCTGAATTTGCTCATCACCCTCCCCGGGCCATTTTAACATTAACTAGTGCATTTATATAGCCAGGTCCCCTTAAGGCAATGCTGCCATTATAATAACTAGATGGCCATCGTACAGTTCCCTGCTGACCTAGTGTTTCTCTGTATTGCCCCTGCTCTCTGACTTGATAACTTTAGTAAAGAATATGATGTTCAAACTTTTTACACATGTTTTACACACAGCATACCAACAACAATACGATCAAAGACTCCCAAATGTTCATTAGGTTCTCCATTATTTTATTTTAGGATCACTTGTGACAGAAATACATCAATCAATACTGGAAAAGAAAGTGCCGGGACATCAGCAGAGACTGGAGATATACCTCAACACCAACGATATGCAGCAGGCCATCAAAAACATCACAGGCTACAATAGCAGGCGCTCCTCCATCATGTGTGAGGCCACATTACCAGATGAACATAACATCTTTTATGTTCGCTTTGATCTCCTCCACCTCCAGAGGACCACTGTCAGTATCCACAGCAGATTTGAGGAGAGCCTGCCGAGAGTGAATATGAGTAAATCAGCTGGGCCTGAAAACATTCCTGGCCGTGTACTAAAAACCTGTGCCAATCAGCTAGTTGATGCTGTTACTGACATTTTCAACATCTCACTGTCTCAGGAGACAGTTCCCACCTGCTTCAGGACAGCCACCATCATTTCTGTACCTAAAAAGTCTGCAGTGTCTAGTCTGAACGACTACCGCCCTGTGGCTCTCACCCCCATCTGATGAAGTGCTTTGAGAAATTGGTTCTTCAGCACATAAAGAACAACATCCCAGCCAGCCTGGACCTTCACCAGTGTGCTTTCAGAACCAACAGATCCACAAAGGGTGCCATCTCCACTGCCCTCTACTCAGCCCTCACACACCTTGAGAAAAACAAAACGTATCAGAATGCTGTTTGTGGATATCAGCTCAGCATTCAACACGATCTCCCCCATGAAACTGATCAGCAAACTCAGCACTCTGGGTTTAAATACAACACTCTGCAACTCAATATTGGACTTCCTCACAAACAGACCCCAGTCAGTTCGGATTGGTGGACACCCCTCCTCCACTGTAGTGCTCAACGCCGGAATCCCCATGGCTGTGTGCTCAGCCCCCTCCTGTTCACGCTGTACACCCATAACTGCATCTCCCGACATGGAGAGAACTGTTGTGAAGTTTGCGGATGACACCACCATCATTGGCCGGATTTCGAATGATGAGACTACATTAGTAATCTTGCAGAGTGGTGTACAGAGAACAACCTACTGCTCAAAGTCAGCAAAACTGAGGAGCTGATCACTGACTCCTGTCTACATCAGTGGTGCAAGGCCCAGGACCGGAGGGCTCTGCAGCGGGTCCTTGGTACCCACCTCCCGAGCATCAGTGAGGTGCCTACGCAGATCCCAAAGGATACTAAAGGACAGTACCCACCCAGCCACAACCTTTTCACCCTGCTGCCTTCTGGGAAGAGATAGAAGTTTCAGCTACCGCACCACCTGACAGCAGAGCAGCTTTTTCCTCCAAGCGATCAGACTCTTAAACTCAAGTTCATCCTCAGCACTGCTCCATTGATCACTGAATTGTTTGTCTGTTTGCCATTTTTATAATTGCTTCTGTATTAATGCATGTCGCCTGCTATGTAGCAGAAGGGAGTTACAAAGCACAATATCATAACCTTTTACATTGTGACAATAAAATGTACCTACCTACCTATTTTTGCTGTGGTCACTTTCAAGCTGTGTTATGGGTGGTGTGGTGTGGGGACAGAGAGGACCCAAATGCAGCGCTCAGAGCGAAGGAGGTTTATTAAGGGAAAAGGGGGTTGAAGGACTGGAGTGGAGGAGAGGTGGATGCCGGGGAAAGACTGGCACAGGGAAACCGGCGGGACTGGGACCAGGGAGCCGGGGAACACTGGGGACGAGGAAGCGGGGAGGCAAGGAAGGACTGGGAGGATGCCATGAGGGAAGTCCGAGGAAGAAAGGAACAGAGGAAGAGCCCAGCCGACTGGACGGAGGACAAGAGTGAGTGAACCTGGGAGGAAAGCAGACAAAGAGACAGGGTTAGTGACAGAAGCAACAAAGCACAGGAAAATTGAGAAAAATCAAAAACATGAATGCAGAAGTGGCACTGGGTATGGAGCAACAACGATCAAGCAAGAATGGTGTGGAGAACCGGGGTTGAAATACAGGCAGGGACGAGGTTGACTACTGGCAGGTGTGGCAGGCTGACGAGGTGGCTGATGAGGTGCAGGTGCAGGTAGTTGGCTGGGCTCAGGAGCAGAGGGAGAGAGAGCACACAGGGGAGAAAACACAGGGAGGCAGGCAGGGAACAGAAAACCAAGGAAAAAGCAGAATAACTGATTAAAAGGAGAAAAAAAAACCAGGACACTCACCGTCAGCCGGGCTGCCACCACAACAAGCTGGGCCATATCTACCGCCATCATCCAAATGACTAGTAAAATCTAATTATTTTTACTTCCTGAAAAACTGTTTCTAATTACCTCAATATATATATTTCTTGACAGTGGCCATAGCTCAGGAGATAGAGAGGGTCCTCCACTAATTAGAAGGTCAGTGGTTTGAGCCCTGGCTCCTCCAGTCTGCATGTCAAAGTGTCCTTAGGCAAGACAATGTTTGTGAATGTGATTAGTTTCTGTTTCCTTTCTGATGAGCAGTTGTCACCTTGCATGGTACTTTCTTGGGTCAGCATGCAACACAATCTCCCCATGAAACTGATTGACAAATTTAGTC